GAACACTTTTCCACAGCCTGGGGAAGGGCATGCACATATGCTACTGTAGAGCAGGGCATGCGATAGAAAGTGCAGCTGCCCAATAAAACAGTAAAACTGACGCTGCACAGTCTTGTCTAGTGAAAAAATGAACTATTGGGGGAGGGGGAGGAGGGAGTTTTCCTCTTAGTAATAGTAATCTTAGATGTTAAAAGTAGGTACAATTTCATTCAGATTAATGTAATTTCTATTCAACAGCTCTTAATTAGGAAGACTTAGACCCTGTTTATGTATGCAGTACCTCAAATGTGTTACAGATGCAACTATAATATAAATAAATTTAGGAGTCTTCAGTTTAACCAGATCCTTTAAGTACTGGTATTCAAAATTAATGGAATGTCATATCCTTAGCAGGTGAAAGAAAGTGATACTGGGCTGGCACAAAAGTTTTTGTAATACAATTAGAGCTTTTCTTCTATACGTTTATCTGGTTCTCTTCCCTACATTTCCCTAAAATCTCAGAAAATGATATATTAGTATTTAAAATATCTCTCTAGGATGACTATTCATTTCCCTGGCTGAACTGATAGATTCAGAATTATCCACAGATACAAATTCCTTATTGCTAGATGTCAGTATGATCCTCAGACAGTAACTCATTATCACACAATCCCAATGTAATGAATCAAAGAATTTAGCCCAATTGACTAAACATCAGAACATTCACGCACCCCTTTGCTTACATGTCTCCTGCTTCTATGCACATTCACACACCATGCAAATACTACAGTGACCCTTGTGTATGAGAAGGCAATAAAGCTTTACGGCTGCCCTACATTTCTATACTCCAGCTGCTAGGACAACAAGAGGTGAAAGGAGAATTTCATCAGATGCTGAGAACATTGTTTCCATGACACTGCTAGGTATCTTCCCAGTTTCATCGGAAGCATTTCAAATCTGCACAGGAATATAATGACACACCAGAAGCACCTATGCTACACTGTAGGTACTTTTATATTAAGAGACACAATTCAGGTATAATTAAGAACAATGAACCCAAACCAAAACAGCTCAAAGCCAACATTACAAGACAAACTCGTAAAAATTCAAAAATGTACCCAAACTAACAAATTTTTATTACCTGCCAGTTTTCCTGAGACATGGCCAGAGCAGACCAGGTTTGTTTCTCCTTAAGGATGTCACTCAAGCAGTAAACACCCATAACACACACCCCAACCCCATCCTCGCTAGGGCACTGGATCCCCAAGTAATGTATTCTAAAAATGAAAGATTGATGGTCATCTTATCCTACCCCTCCTTCCTACACTATAACAGGTGTTACCTGAGTGGATGGATGTACTGTGCTGGAAAATAAGTATAAGATATGAAATTTATTTTTCAAGTTTGTTCCCACAAACAGTGCAGATCCACGATTGTCCCAAGAGGGGCCAGCTATGATCAGGTAGATATGACAAGTGGAAGACTGGAAAAGAAGGTGGGGAAGATTTACATGAAGGGATGGAGAGAATAGATCTAACCCAATGGGCAACTAATTGCGGGGGGCAGGGGGTTTGAAAAGGCAGAGTCAGCAGTCCTGCTTGAAGCACCCTCTAGCCAAATATTTCATCAGCCAAGGAAGTTAGAACTACACAGCACTTCTTGACATCAGGTGGCTGCTCTGGCTAATTCAATTAGACTTCTCCCTCAGCCCAAGAAATAGCAACTACTCTAATGGAGTGAGCATGAAGTTTGACTGGACAAGAGAAACCACCTTCATGTGGAAATGGATTGTATGGGAAATTACATACCTAGCAGCTCTGCTCCTGAAAAGGATCCTTTAACAATACAAAGAGTTGCATTTCCTCCATTCTTGTACAGGAGGCTTAGGGTGACCATATTTCCCTATGCTAATACGGGACACCTGGTAAAATTACTCTTATTCAAACGAGTTCAATGGCAGTAACTCGAACTGTGCAGTACAAACATTCAAACTAACATCAAGTTGACTGAACCCCATTAAAAAAATACTATGTAGTTGATTTTTTTTATTTACCTTATCTTTAAGGCTTTCGGGTCCACATGGGGAGGGATGACACACACACCCTTACCCCCCTACACACACACTCTCATACACCTCTCTCACACGGGGGTGTGTTTGACCGACCTACTTGACCCTCCCTCCCAGCACTCTCCACCCTTCATGCCTGGCTGGGCACCCAGGACTGACCTGCCTCTCCTGGTACCATCTCTTCCTGAGGCAACATGTGGTGGGCATGCAGGGTCACATTCCTCCCCCCGCCCCAGATTTATGCCAGGGTTCACACCAGAATATGGCCAGCAGGAGCCTTTTAGCACTGCACGGGAGAGAAGGGAAGCGAAGTGAGCTGCTTCCGGCTCCAGGGGGTGGGGGAAGGGATGACCTGGCCCCACCTTTGCAGAACTCATCTCCCCCGCCCCCCATGTGGCTAGAAGCAGCTTGCCCCTTCCTGTCCGCTGCTAGCCACCTACATAACCAAGCCACCTCCCAGCTACAGCATGGGCAGGAAGGGGTTAAACTCTAAGGCTGCATTGCCCATTGGAGCCGAGGGAACCTGACTGCAGGGGCCTTAGCAAACCTGGCCAGAGAGGTGGCTCAGCAGGGAAAGGTGCCTAGGAAATAGAGCAGCCCCACACTTCCTGGGGGCAGGATCCAGGGGAGACAGAAAATACAGGACAATTTGCCCATTTTAAAGAAAAAGTCAGGACACCTGCGGGAGGGCTAAAATAAGGGACTGTCCCTTTAAAAACAGGACATCTGTTCACCCTACATCAAGGGAATAGTGCAGGATCTCAATCTGCCCCATGTTAGGGCAGAGGTTACAGAGGGAGATCTCCTTGTTAAGGTAAAAAAGTGACCAACTTTGGGAGAAAACCAAGACAACTATTATATCCTTGTGGAAAATGAATAGGGAGTCAGATTAGAACTGCTAACTAACAGCCATGGGAAAAGAAATTTCAAAAAACATGTAAAGAAGAAATTAATTTTAGTGACTCAAGTAAGTCACAGAGGGTTTATAGACCAAGTACAGGCTACAGGGAGAGACTAGTTGATTTAACTGGATGAGGCAGAAGACTGCCTTAAAGAAACTTATCAACATAGGCTGAGCCCATACTGGCTATGTCGTTGAGCACACTAAGAACAAATGCCTGTACACAAAGGGCATTATATTAGAAGACCCTTCTCAAAACCCTCCTGAAGAAACTCAAACTGCAGTATGCTTTGAGACCTGTTTGGTTCTGCACCAGCAAGAAAACACTGACCTAGAGACAGATGGGACTGCAGATGTGTAATTTTTTTTTTATGATTAACAACTTTATATGATTCAGAACTGGATTGTACATCGTTTATGTAACCATATGTTCCTACCGTTACTATCCTCATCCCTCACTATTCCCTCCTTCTGTTTATTGGATCTTATCCAATTAGACTAAGCTCTAAAGTCAGGAACCATAACTTTTGATTAATTTGTACAGCACCTAACACACACACACACACAATCCCTCCCTCCCTGATCAGTAAGTGCTACTAAGTTTTATAATGTATAGGTATATAAACAGTAAGTTAACAGAATGACAAGTCCTTTTTCCAGGAAGGAAAATGTTGGAGAGACTTTCAAGAAGGCCCAACCTTAAAAAGCCAGATCCCTAAGCCTGAACATGGCCGGGATGCTGTTGTGCAACAGGTCCAAACTTTGAGAGAATTTCATGTTGACATCTGAGAACCAAGCCCTCTGGAGTAATAAGGATCAAATACAACCTTTGCTTTCTACATCTTCTACTCATTTGAGAATTACTGAAGAGGTGGAAACACATAAGCCTCAGTTTTTTCCAGTTGCATGAGAAGTCATCTAGGGTCTGGTATGATGTGTACCCCATCACTGTGCAGTAGTCCACTCTCCAGTATAGATTTAAATTCTTAATTAGTCTGTGCGCTAATCCGGCTCAGAACATATGCAGGATTTGATGCACTCCCCTCAACAAGGCTTAACTCAACGACCCTCTGGTGCTTCATACTACAGTTGTTTTACTTGACCTTATGCATAGTTGTGAAAGTACACATGCAGCAAGCTAAGTAAGGCCAGGAAGACTGCCCTGAGCTCCAAAATATTGTTGTGCAATCCTGTTTCTGGCTGGCCAACTCTGGAAGTGTGGGCTCCCCAGCCTATAAGGCTGACATCCATGCTTATGTATGTATAGGGTGTGTATATAAATTCTGAACATGGTGTTCCTGTTCATTCACCAGAGGAGAATTTGACTGATGAGTGGCTCAAGTCCTCCCTTTTCCAAGTCCTCCCTTGTTGACAGTATGAACTGTAAGAGTTGCTACTTAAAGTTTCAGGAATGAAAACTTCATCCACGCTACCAGGTCTTGGCATAACATTGGCATGCTTAGAAATGACACACACAACCAGTTGGGGAAGACTTGCCAACTCAGGAAGAGAGCAAGTGTTACCAGTTTCTGAATCCTTTCCTGAGATGGGGAGTTTCTGTCATTCCAAGTGTCTAGGTCAATTCCCAAGTGGGCAATTTTCTGAGATGGGAATCAGGGAACTATGAACTCCAAGTGAGCCAAATATTTTCAGGCATATTTCAATCAGAGCAGAGGTTTTCAAAATGTGGGGTGCACCCCCTGTGGGGCATGACAAGGTTATCAGGGAGGTGTGAAGACCTGACTGGTACTGGGAAGAACCTGGTGTTAAAGAAAATTAAAAAAAAAAAAAAAAAAAAAATCTGGTGTGTCGGGTTGCAGCACCATTCAGATTTGGCCCTCTCATCACGGCCCAGCCCTGCAGGACACAAAAGCTGCTGCTACCTGAGGTGAGCGCGCTCTCCAGGCCCGCCCATCCTGACTTTCCCTCCTTACTGGACCACAAAAATATTTAAGACAAACAAGATCAAGGACTGAAAGCACAGTAAAACTTAAAACTGCAAGTAAAAGCTATAACTTTAATTGAAAGCCCATACGTCAAAGAAAAACATACCACTCCATCAGAAATCTTCCAGTCTGTGCGACTCTCATATTTCTGTAGTTGCTTTTCAAACAGTTGTGCTATGGCTCGATGGACAAGTTCATACTGCTCCTATTGTATGCATGTTAAAAATGATTAATGTACAAGATGCTTTAAAAAGTACATACCACAAAGTCCAAGTCTACACTACAGAAAAGTATACCTTGGTCTGCACTGCAGAATGCCTTTGTGTCCTCATTTCTTGTATTAAATTAAATACATTGAACTCTTCTGGTATTTTCTGAAATATAAGGCAAAGTTATGTTATTTTCTATAAAAGTCAATACGGTATATTGTCAGCATAGTGATTTAAAATGTGGCCGACCAATTTTTAAAGTTACCACTACAGCATGCCTTACTGCTTTTATAGAAAGCTGACCCATTCCCTCCATGTAAGTTAATCTTATCAAAGTCATTTAGAGCAACAGTTCTTTCAGAACTGGTATTTATAACTGTTTCACTGGTAGTGCAGATCACACAAATATTTTTAAGATCAATTCTAAAAGTGTGACAGACTTGGCAGAAGCAATGTCGTCTGACATACTGACATTATGGCGACCCATCAGCATGTCTCTTTGCTTCAAAATGAACCTAAAAACCACAAAGTGAAATATAAACGCAGACAACTTGAAATTTCAAACGCAGAGAGTTTAAGAAGCTATAAAAAAATCATTGCAGAAGAAACAAGGAGTAAACATACTTTGCAGTATATTTATAGATTTTGAAACTTTGATCTTTGGAAATAATTTGAAAATCAGCACTTCAGATAAGCATTCAGGTCAATATACTCAAAACTATGTACTATTTAAATTTACAGTTTGACATTTTACCTTGAGATGCTTCCATTCTGAGACTGGGTAGGTTTTGGTTGTTTTGTTGATATAGGAAAGTGCTTCCATAAGTAACCTAAAGCCAATGTTTAATATACAGTAACACCTCGCTTAACGTTGTAGTTATGTTCAAGAAAAATGCTACTTTAAGCAAAACGATACTAAACTAATCCAATTTCCCCATAAGAATTCATGTAAAAAGGGGGTGGGCTTTAGGTTCCACGGAAAGACTAGATAGATATACTGTGTATGTGTATGTATAAGTTTTAAACCAACAATTTAATACTGTACACTGAAATGATGATTGTGAAGCTTGGCTGAGGTGGCAGAGTCAGAAAGTGGAAGAGGATGGGATATTTCCCAGGGAATGCCTTACTGCTAAATAATGAACTAGCACTGGCTGAGCCCTCAAGGGTTAACACATTGTCATTAATATAGTCTCACACTCAACAAGGCAGCACGAATGGAGGAAGGGGAGAAGCATGGCAGAGAGAGACAGAGAGACACACCATGTGTGAGAGAGAGACGCGCATTGCCCCTTTAAGTACGCTGACCCCACTCTAAGTATACTGCCTTTTTAAGTAGATCAGCAAGTTAAGAAAGCTCCCTCCATCCTGAGCCCAGTTGTGTCCCTGCCCTGCTCTGTGGAGATGGGGTAAAGGAGCGGGGTTTGAGGGGGACACCCGGACATTAGTTCCTCCCGCCATCCCCCGCATAGCAAGCAGGCGGCTCCCAGGAGCAGTTCCAAGGCAGAGGGCAGGAGCAGCACAGGACAGTGGGGGGAGGGACAGCTGAACTGCTTGTCAATTGATAGCCTACTGGGCAGTTGCCACACAGGGAACTGAGGGAAGCTGATGGGGGGAGAGGCTGCTGCCAGTCCACCCTGGTTTCAAGCCCCCACCAGCTAGCTCCAATGGGCTGCTCTTTCTGCAACCAGTGGACAAGGCAGGTGGCTGCCAAACAACATTATAAGGGAGCATTGCGCAACGGTAAACAAGCACGTTCCCTAATTCATCAGCAACATAACAAAACGTTAACCGGGACGACTAAGTGAAGAGTTACTGTACTTCAAAAATTTGAACATTTGATATTTCTGATTTTGTTACTCCTCAGCAGGTTGGAAGCTTAATTTTAATCACTGGTATAAAATATGATCTAATTCTACAGTAAATTTTATTCCTATAAATCTTCCTTACCCCAGCTTTTAGCAAATTCCATGTATAATCTATGGCACAGATGGCTCCTGTTCTTCCACACCCTGCACTAGGGACATAAACAACAGTTACTCGACAGTTCTTTTAACAATGATTTAAGTTACCTTGTGTAAGTTTTATAGAGTTACTATTTTCATATTTACAGAATCAAGGTAAAATATCACTACCTACTTAAAAATATGTCAGTCCTCAAATACCTTTTGTCAGCCAGCTCTTAATGTAGTTAATGTAAAGTACATGTAGTTTCATGTTTTCATAGCCAACAGGCATCAGCATTTCAGATATGAAGAAATGCTTTAATAAAGTGTGTTGAAGCATTTTTGCCTATTCTATATACTACAGAGAATAGTAACTGGTCTAACAGTTCAAGCATTATAGAATGGCTACATAAAGGAAGAGACAATAGAAAAGTGTAAAATGTAAAGTTTTCATTTTCTTGATAACCTGGTAAAACACAATATGGGTTACTTCTCAATTTATATAACTAACAATCTTTAAAGTGTCAAAATCTTTCTCCTTTGCAAAGTGATGAAAAATGGAATCAAATGTCCACATTTATTCTGTCTCAAATGATTTCTGTAGCAAATGTGTCCAGTTTATAAATAAAGAGATTTATTTTACACTATCAGCTCAAAACGCAATCTTTGATTCCTTCCTTCCCATGCTTCATAACTAATAATTAAGTTTCTACAGAATAACCTATCCCTCAATGCCTGTGCATTTCCATTGTCTTGTATAAGTGTATATAGGTGCAACTGGTTGAAACTTAGTTAATAATTCTGTTGATGCTCAAGAAGTAGAATCCATTTAACTTTTTCTTAGCACTAAACAGGACTAAAAACCAGTTAAAAACTCTGTCAACTAATGTCAGCTGATATGACTGAATACACAAGGACAGCACATCTTTTGAGTAAAAGGGTATGTTCTTTCCATAGTCATCTTTTCATAGTAGAACCACACTTTAAAACCAGAAAGTATCCCTAAAAGGTTTACAGACTTAACCCTTCCTATATAATTTTTTATGTATAATCACTCATTAACACTAAACATGCCTTTGGTTGTGATCAAACCATTACTTGCAGAAATAGTTACATTTATAGTGAAGTCATTAGTGTTGACTAATCAAAGGTCATATCCATACTCAGGGTCAATTCTCTTCCAACCTATGAAAAAGTGATTGGAATTCGTATTTGAGAGAGAAAACAAAAAGCATACAAAAATGTATTATAGTGTAATGACCACTGACAGAAGTTTTAAAGTAAAAAAAATACTAGAGCTTGTTACTGCGGCTTTTAGTAGCATTTTCATTAAAATGAAGAGTATTAAAGGGAAATCCAAATCATATAGGTTTAATATAATCATAACTTGGTAGGTATTTAAACACATACCCTTTAGATGTTGCAAGAATAGTTTAAATTTTGTGGGTCAACAAAATAGATGCTCGAGTCCTCCTGCAGGTTCTGCAACAGCAGCAAAGTACTGCTCTGGTCTATGATAAAGGGTTTCAGTTTTGTTTTGTTTTTTGTCAGGGGAAGGGAAATTTCCACACCCTCTTGGGAAGTTCAGATGTTTGGAAAGGTGATTTTACCTTTGCTTTTTTTAAGTATAGTCATTGCTACTTTGGCATTTATTCTTTTAAGGAAAAGAAGTGACAATTGCATAAGCCTCAATTTTATATTATGCTTAATCCTGCTATAGATTCAGAAGTCATTCGTCAGAGCACCCTAGAAATACTAGAATTAATAGATGTTCTAAACGGAGAATACAGTAGGCTCATCAACAAGGAAAGAAACCTTCTGGAATTTAAGAACAGTAAATCTTATTTAATACACAAATAGATTTGACATTTGCACGGGGTGTTTATTTTATATATCAGCACAGTGGCTAAGAAAATTAATAATTTGAGAATTAACGGCATTGCAGTGTTTGTTGTTTCTAATCTATAGCGTGTTATGAAAATATATAGGCACATTCTTAACATGGTTTTAGTACTCAACTAATATTTTTATCATTTTCATTACTATACTGCTATATATTTCTCTCTTTGGCTGTATTTTTGTTTTTGCAATGCTATCATGAAGCAAAATTCAGTCTATAACAAGTTCTGTGTTTTAGTCTAAACTGGAAATGTAGTTTTAACATGTATTTCATTAAACAATTGCAAAGGTGCGCGCTTTTGAGAGACTTTTGATGTCTGCACTGGTAGCTTGCCAGAAATCCAATGACTGCACTTGATTTGCATATGGATGTATATAAGTTAACAAATGCATACAGGCCTGTTATTTTTTAGAATTTTCATCTTCCTTAATATAGCCACAGAAGTTGTGTATTTGTTAAGCATACCGGCAATGAAAACCAGCAGCAGATTAATTTCCCATATTTATAGAATTTAGAGATGAAAGACCCATTAGGCATCTTGTCCATAAGACGTATTCTAATACTCCACCCATTCTAGTTCTGAAATGTCCTTAGAAACAGCTTCCACTGCTTTGTCCTCAGTCCTTCACTTGAAGAGGAGAGGGCAGCCAGGGGTTACATTTTAAAACTACTGAGTGTACAGTTAGCCTTTGGGTCACTTGTTAAAGTATACATAATCCATAACGCTGAGTAGAAAAAACAGTTACCTACCTTCTGTAACTATTGTTCAAGATGTGTTGCTCGTGTCCATTCCATTCTAGGTGTGCGCGCCCATATGCGCAGCCGGAGATTTTTGCTTTAGTGGTATCTGTAGGGTAGGCTATAGCGTCCTTTTGAGTGCTGCGCCTATGCGTCGGTATATTAGGCACCGCTAGCCCAATGCCCTCTCAGTTCCTTTTTGCTGGCAACTCCAACAGAGGTGCAGGAGGATGGGTAATGGAATGAACATGAGCAACACATCTTGAAGAACAGTTATGAAAGGTAGGTAACTGTTTTTTCTTCGAGTGCTTACTCATGTCTATTCCATTCTAGGTGACTCACAAGCCATATCCCTGGTGGCGGGCTCAGAGTTCACGGTCATGAGTCTTGCAACACTGCTTTGCCAAAGCCAGCACTGTCTCGGGTTTGCTCAGTGAACGCATAATGAGATGTAAACACGTGGACAGACAACCAGGTCGTGTCCCTACAGATATCCTGAATTGGCACCTGGGCCAGGAAGGCTGCCGACGCGCAGTCACAGCCGCTGGTGGAGCCACCTTTGCCAGTCATCGTAGTAATGGATGCAGGCTGTGATCTAGGATGAATCCTCTGCACTGACACTGGAAAACCTTTCATCCTATCCGCCACCGCAACAAACAACTGTGTTGACTTACGAAATGGCTTTAAGGCTCAAAGCCTGAAGTAGAAGAATCGCTAGCCCTTGCAAGGCAAGGGAAAGGCGCTCTGACAAACCACCACGGGCACTAAGAAGGAACCAAGAAGGCGTAGGGCCAGTGGCGCCTAATATACTGACACATGGGCACAGCACTGAAGATGGTGCTGTAGCTGACCCTACGGATAATGCCAAGGCAAAAATCTCCGACCGTCGTGCAAATGGGCACGCACACGCACCTAAAATGGAATCAACGTGAGCAAGCACTTGAAGAAGAAAGAGGTTCTTTTTACCAATGAGCTAGAAGAGGAACTTTTCAAAATTAACACATGTAAGTCTTGTACCAAACATACAACTTTAAAAAATATTAAGAAATATATTTGGTACCTGCAGTGTATACAAATAGGCACATCTTCATGCTCCTGGTATTCTCTCATAAAGCTGATCATGTCCAGAATAGAATCAAAAGACGATGGAACATCATGGTCAGGCCAGTTCACGTAATGAAACTGATATACCCTACGAGTTTCCTAAGGAAAAAAATTTAAATCAAACACACATTGAAGAATTTTGTATAAATGTATGATCATTTTCTGCATGATTTATTTTCCTGATCAAAGACTTTCACTGCAAAGACAACAGATGCTGCATTTAGCCAAAGTGAAGTAAGTTTGAGCAAGGACAGCACAAGTGGATGAAACAGATTTTGCATTGGGGTTGATATGGAAATAAAGATCTCCAATTTTATTACAAACAAACCATGGACTCCAGTGTTTTTTGTATAAAGTAAAACTCGTAATCTGAAATTATATTAAGTAAAAAGTAAGCATTCACTAACAAATTTGTTTAAGCCAATGGTTTTCAACCTTTTTTCATTTGAAAACCCCTAACATTTTTTGCATGGATGTGCAGTCTGCAGAACCCCAGGTTTCTGTGGACTACAGGTTGAAAACCACTGGTTTAAGCCCAGGGAGAAGGCTGAAAAGAGGGGCTATAGGAAAAGAGAACTCAGATGTGCAGACCTCATCTTTTTACTTTTGTTGGACCCACAAAAGGAACAGAGCGAGAGAGATTCTGTCTTGTACATCATTAACTGAACATATTAAATTCTAATTGTTTACACCTGTGTAAGTCCATTGAAGACAACAGGCTTGCATATATGTCAGTAAGGACCTAATTTGGCCCGCAAAACCTTTATGAACTGTGTAGATGTGCAAAGAACGATAGATCCAGAGTGACATTCAGATCCCAGGAAGAGTTTGCAGGACTGGCAGAAAAATAACTTGTAAACTTATGCTTTTGATAAGTATTTTTTAGAACAGATCCAAACTAGCAGACTTCTGGAAAAACTGCAAAAAAGTAGTGCATACGATGTTCCAACAGCATTTCACAGAAGTAGATGAGAAAGAGGTTTTCATTTCATTTGTTCAAACTCATCTACAGACTGCAGATACCAGTTTTCTTCCTTTGCTGAACTGAGTGTACCATTATGAGATAAAAGGGCAAGTTTACATCTAATAATGAAGACTGCTTAATTAGTGTAACTAATTGATTTTTTGAAAAAGGAGAATTAGATGCTCATGACGAGAAAAAAATACCTTTATTGACAGAGCAGGTTATTGACAGAGCAGATCCAGCTTCCCCAAAATAACCTGTCAATGTGTCTCAATTATTTTGTTTTAGAGGGACCAACTCTATGGGTGAGGAGTTGATTCACTTTTTAAACCTATCTTTGGCTTTACTGCCAAGATGGTAAACAAAGTGAAATTGTGACAGTTTTTGTTACTAGTGTTGTTTTTGTTATTGTAATATAGTGGACAGGTGTCCTATAGGAACTTAACTGGGACTGCAGACTTCATAGGTCAAACGGTTGGATGCTAACTGGGACACAAGATAAAAATTATCAACAATAAACCTGAATTATCCAGTCCCCTCTACATTTCTTTAAAAATTCCTTAAATGTAGCAATGCACTGAGTGCACCCAAAAACAACTGTAAGGAACAATTCATCACACATATAACACAATATATTCAAAGTCCCTCTGAGCTTATTTAGTGCTGGTAGTCAAAAGATATCGCTAAAATCAGAGAATTTAGAATGTTTTATAGATTGTCATGTCTTCCTGCGGCTTGAAGAACAAAATAAACTGATACAACTGTACACCCTAGTCTGTGTAAGCTTTTTTCTGAACAATAACTATCTGCAATGGTTGAGATCTGCGTTATTTTTAGGGACAGGAAATGCCTCTAAGTGAGAAAATCTGACCAAGCAGAAGACAGTAGCTTGTAACAGTCATTTAGTAACAGTGGTGGCCACTACAAACCCCAGGCTGGATAATCACCTATGTTACCAACATTGTTTTAGGCTAGTTATGTTAATGAAATCTGTATTATTGCCAGCCACCTCACAGGAGCATAAATGGGCTTTCCCAACTCTTTATTCTGAACTACAAATTAGCCCTCTTTTTAAGAGGTATAACTCTGCAAAAAGGATCAAGTCCTGCATTTTTTTAAACAGTTTTTTTGGAAGTGAGCTTGATTTCCTTTAGCAAAACAGACAAAACTTCCAATACTTGTTACCATGACCTGTTCTGAATTTTAAACATTATTTAACCCTTATTTTTTCATAGAATTACTCTGTGTGCGTGCGCACACACACGAATTCTCAAACTATTCCTGGAACTTTAACATTTTACAATAATTAAATTCTCTTCCTGTCAGACATTTTGTTCAAGAGAAGGTTACTCATCCTGTGCAGTAACTGAGGTTCTTTGAGATGTTTGTTCCTATGGGTGCTCCACTTTTAGGTGTGGCATTGCCTCCTGCACCTGGGATCGGATATCTTCATCAGCAGTGCCCATGAGACCACACACGCAGATCACCCCCCGCTCTCCCAGAGTTATGCGTGGGACATACATATAGTGCTTTGCGGTCCGACCGCCCTCAGGTTCCTTCTCTGCCACAGAGCTGGGGGTTTTTTGGGGGGGGGCTCCGAAGCAGAGGGAAGGAGGGTGGGTAGTGAAGCACCCATAGGGATGCACTTCTTGAAGAGCCTCAGTTATGCACATTGTGAGTAACCTTCTCTTCTTTGAGTGATGTCCGTACGAGTGCGCCACTTGTAGGTGATTAGAAAGCGTCGACTTGGTGGGAGACACACCAGTATTGAAATCTTGTCCATTTGTGAACGTAAGTGCGTCTAGTTGTGTCATGCCTGCTATTTAAACATATCAGTTTGACTCTGTCCAAACCATGGAGGAGCCAGGCTTTGAGATGGAGCATCTGTGGATTGGGATGGAGGATGTGTCCTGCAAAAGGAGCAGTGGCATTGGATGGAGAGAGATCAATTGGCACACTATCATGTAGAAGAGGTAAGTATACCAGACCTGTCGTGGCCCTGTTAGAGCTATAAGTATGACATGAGCTCGATCCTCTCATAGCTTGCAAAATACTATGAATAGGAGGGAAAGGCATAAAAGGAGCAGTATGTCCCATATTATGAGGAATGCATCTCCTATAGATCCATGTCCCAGTCTTCCTCTGGAACAGAATTGAGGGCAGCGGGCATTGTGCTGTGTGGCAAAGAGCTCTATGGTGGGGTTCCCCATCGACTGAAGATGGGCTGAAGTGCTTGCATATCCAGTTCCCATTCGTGAGCGTGGGAGAACCTACTGCTCAATGTGTCTGCAATAGTGTTTTGGTGTCCAGGGCAGTACGCTGCTGAAATGGTGATTTGTTGGATACACCAGTTCCACAGTTTGAGTGCCTCTGATCATAAAGAGTGGAACCTCGCTCCTCCTTGTCTGTTGATGTAATATACGCAGGTGAGATGGTCAGTCATCACTCCTAGTATGATGTTTGAGAAGAGGTAGGAAATGTTGGCAGGCATTGCAGACTGCTCGTAGTTTTAGGAGATTGACGTGTAGGATGGATTCAGTTAACAGCCATCTGCCCTGCACTGTGTGATTAGGGAGGCATCGGTTATTAGGATCATGGTCAGTGGACATTGGAGGAAAGGAACTCTGACACAAACATTGTTGGGCCGTGTCCACCAAAGTAGCAACCCCTTTACTCTCATCGGCATGGATAAGAGCTTGTGAAGGCTGTGTTTGTGGGGGAGATATACTGTACGGAGCCATGGCTGAAGACATTTCATGTGTAGATTTGCGTGCCTGACCACGAAAGTGGCCGTTACCATGTGGCCTAGAAGCTGGAGGCATGTTCTGGCAGAGATCGGGAGGCAGACTCATATGTTTGATACCAGATCTACTACACTTGAGAATCTGTGAGAAGGTAGAAAGGCTCTGGCTTGTCTGGCATCCAACTGCACGCCAATGAATTCCAGTTGTGTACCGGCATTAAAGTGGACTTTTCTCGGTTCACAAGGAGACCTAACTTTGTGAACAAGTCTATTGTTATGTGGACGGCTCAGAGAGCATCAGTCTCAGATGCGGCCTTAAAGAGACAGTCACCCAAGTATGGAAAGATGATGACATCTTGTTTCCTCAGATAGGCAGCAGTTACTGCAAGGACCTTGGAGAACACCCAAGGTGTGGAGTACAGTCTGAAAGGCAGAACTTTGTGCTGGTACTGGCGGTCGCCCAAGATTAATTGGAGAAATTACCTGTGAGCAGCGTGTATTGTAATACGAAAGTATGTCTCTTTGTGGTCAAGGGCCAAGAACCAGTCCCCCTGTTCCAGTGCTGGGATAATACTGGAGAGAGTAACCATTTTGATGCATTGCAGTTTGGTGAATTTGTTTAGATTGTGAAGGTCCATGAACAGTAAGTCTTATTTAATATACAAATAGATTTGACATTTGCACCGGGTGTTTATTTTATATATCAGCACAGGTCCATCATGGCTCGCCAGTCACCAGATTTCTTCTGGATCAGGAAATAGTGGGAGTAGAAATCCTGTCCAATGTGCCAGGAAGGGACAGGTTCTATGGCTCTCAGTTCCAGAAGATGATCTATTTCTCCCCAGAGAATGGGATTGTGAGATGGGTCTCTGAAGAAGGACAAGGAGGGAGTATGCCAGGACAGGATGGATAGGAAGGGGATGGAGTATCCTCCTTTGATTGTCTCTAGAACCCACCTGTCCAAGGTGAGGAGTATCCAAGAGGGGAAAAATAGAGCTAGTCGTTCACCAAACTAGTGGAACATGAAAGACCGTGGGAATGACTGGAATAGTGGGAGGCTTCTCGGGGTCTCAACCACACCTTCAAAATTGTTGCTGTGGTGGGGGCACGTGAGAGGTAGCCCCTTGATGAGCAGGCTGTCTACATTTGATAGGAGGCCTTTGTCTTTGGTGCTGGGTGTCAAAGTGCTGCTGAGGGGTGTCCTGCTGCGGTTAGGATTGCAGGGGGAGAGTATTTCGCTGGGTGTCTCTTTGGTGCTGACGTGTAAATGCCAAGGTAAGAGTGTAGCTTGGAAGTCTATTAGAGAACGCAGATAATTGTCCATGCGCTCTGAAAATAGTTTCTGACCCTCAAAAGGTAAGTACTCTACTGTGGTATGTACCTCATTAGGAAAACCTGAGAGATGAAGCCATGATGCATGCCTCATGACCACAGCAGTTGTGATGGATCAGGCAGTGGTGTCTGCACAGTCTAACGTGGCTTGCAGGGCTGTATGAGCTAGGAGGTGTCCTTCCAATATTAAGGACTGGAACTGCTCTCTTGGCCTCTGACAGGTCATGGCAGAGTTCCTCCAATTTAGAGTAGTTTAGGTAATTATACTTAGCCACAAGAGCTTCATAGCTGGAAATTTTTAATTGGAGCATGGCTGATTAATATGCTGTGTGTCCAAATAAGTCCAGGCATTTCCAATCCCTGTCTGGATTGCATTGGAATTGACAGCCTCTTTTGTGCACTGCATTGACCCCCAAAGAACTTGGGGTGGGATCGGAGAATATAAATTTCACATCCTTCTCTGGAACATTTTTTTTTTTGCACATTTGCAGGTTGGAGGGATGGACGCCAGGGTCTACCAGAGCAGCTTTGCACGGCTGAGAAGAGCCTCATGGATCAGTAGTGGGACCTTGGAGGAGGAGGATGTGTGGAGGGTATCAAGCAGATTATGCTGCTGGTACTTGACTTCCTCCAAAGGAATCTGCAAGGAGTCTGCAATCTTGCAGAATAAGTCCTGAAAATGTCTGAAGTCGTAGGCAGATGTAGGAGGTGGAGGCATGATAGCCTCATCAAGGGAGGAGGAGGAGGAAAAATGGTGGAGCCTCCTCCTCCTGTTCCTCCTCTTCAATTGGTACCGGCAGGGGTTCAAACTCCAGCAGGAAGCAACTGATGGAGAAGGAAAAGGTGCAGGTCTCCGGCTTTGCTCTCTGGGAGGGTTCCCAACTGCTCCCTGTACATGGCCCAAGGGTTCCAATATGGCCAGTGTGGAGCGAATGAAATATGTGGCTGTATCTATGGTGGTCCATGCCAAGACTGTGGACCAGATGTGGATTGTGGAAAGGGCGGATGAAGAGGTATGATTTGCCTGGCAAACAAGGGAGTAATAGAACACTCCTCCTCATCTCTGGGGAAGGTAGGTGCCATCCTCAGGAGGAGAAAGATAGGAGTGTCATTTAGTCCAGAGAGGGTAGGTCACATCGAAAGAGCAGAGACTCAGGAATGTCAGATACCAGCAGGTCTTTTTAGGGTATCTAAAGTCTTGTGGAAGGTGGAAAAGCATCATCGATGCCAGTGTATAACTCTATATCAAAAGGAAGGGTGTATTCCCCTGAAGTGTCCACAGCGCAAGAGACTTGGCCAGTGCAGACGATTTTGATGATGCCATGGGCTTGCTCGGGGCCAACGGTTTAATCGCTGTTGGAAAGAGTGCCAGTGCCGGCATTTCTTTCGGTGCTGAAATTTCTGAAGTTGGCCTGTCTCGTTCCTCAGAGCTGTGAAATGGTGCCAAGGGCTGTAGGTCTGGCCTGGTTAGGATCCTAAGACTGCTTCTTCAAGTTGGTACCAGAGGTACTTGGACGGGCCCTGGAGCTACATCCCGACAGACGAGCTGAGGCAACAGACCTCGCAGGCGACAGTGTTCTGGTGGGCTGTGCCTCAAACTGTGAGAAGGGAGCCCATTTCTTTTTGTCCAAGAGAGAAAGAAAGAAGGCTCTCTCTCTTTAAGGGACATGGGGAACGAGGATTGGCAAACAACCTGGCAGAACATGAGGGCCTCTCTGGGGAAGAGTCCAGGCCTGGGTCCGATGCTGGTCACAGAGAAGTTTTAATCTAAAGTCCGGTCTTTTCTGGCTCTAGCTTTCATGCCAAGGCAGTGGGAACACTTCTGTGGGATATGTCCCTCTCCCAGACAGCAAATGCACTGTGGGTGGCTGCCCATTACCAGGACGGCAACCCTGCAAGAAATGTACCCTTTAAACCTGGAGTATCTGGGCATAAGGGTGAAGGAAAAAGCTTCCCAATTGGGAAGGGTGGAAAGTGGGGAAACGGAAACCTAAGCATGAAATAACTGAAGGTAAAATTAAAACAAAAGACAAAACAAAAAAAATTAAGATAGAAGAAAGAAGAAGATAGTAACCACACTAACGGGTAAGGCACTATTCAGTAAGGGAAAAGCGGACTCTGCTGCGGATTCTGTCACAGACCAAAGGTGGCAGAGAAGGAACTGTGGGCACTAAGACCACACAGCACTATATATACACACATTCTGTGCAGAGTGCGAAGGGGGCCAGGGGCACATGGCCCGAAGGGCACTGCTGACGAAGATCTCCGATCCCAGACCCAGGGGGCGCTGCCATACACGTGTCCCATAAGGACATCACGTAAAGAACTTAGTTTTATTTCAGAAAAAAGTGACTGCAATTCTTAAGGATTTACATTCATAACTTCCAAATTAACCAACATGAAAAATCAGTATTAATTGGTATTATCACAGATCATTCATCGTAAGTACTTAAATATTAGAGAATGTTACTCATACGGTTCTTATTCTAACCAGTGAACTAGATCTTGAAAGTGCAATTTTAGTAACACTAAAATTTGTTAGTAATTTTGATGGCAAAAAAAGTGTGCTTTAAGCACAGATTTTGTTTTGTATGGTTTTTAACGTTTATTTCCATTTTGAGCCTTGACTGCATCCTCCAAATCCCTATGGACTTCAACTGACAAAAACAAAGTGACAAGCAGAAGCAGGAAGGTCAGCACCTATTAACTTAAAGCTAAAAGCATCTATTAGATGAAGCAAAAAAACATTCAGAGGCCATCTCAGCAAGATACTGAAGTCCAGATAGAAATTTTATTTATCAAATCTAGACTGAAGAATAGTATCATGTTACATTAAACAAAAATAATAAGGCAAGTGAGTGTAACTGGGGATTAAAAGAAAAGTTCAAACAAACACCAGGATGCACTTTCTCAGGCTAATAAATAATCTGTAGGGTGGGCAGTCAGTAAGTCTGTCAGACACACAGTTATTGTCAAGGAAACAGTCAGATCACATACTAAGAGGCATTAAAAAGGCTGGCTGGATCAAAAAAGACTTCTTTCAGCCTTCAGATTAAATTTGTGGATCAGATATTGAGCTGGTGTAAACAGTATAGCTTCATGGACTTCAACACATTATACCAGCTGAAGATCTGGCCCTGTATTGTTAATGAACACTACTGAAAAACGTCACACAGATTTGGTTAACCACAAAAGCACTACCGTAAGAACAGATAGTATGTTACAAGACATTTATGAACCTTTTGTTTCTTATAACTGAACTATTTATATCCCTTACAAACTTAATAATGTACACAAGCAGAGAAATAAGTTTTTGCTCCTTTAATATTACTGACTTGATTTTTTTGTAAGTTTCCTTGATTTACCATCTGAGATCTTTGAACAGATGTTAAGTCACACCAGATTAAGACCAAAAATGTAAAACATAACTAGTGTTTGAACAACTGTCCTGAGTGGGAAAACCTTTCAAGTTTTAATGACTTACATTTTGAAATTCAAGTAATAGCGTTCTAATATAGTAGTCTGTTCTTGCTTGTTCAGCTTCCTAAATAAGAGGAAACATCTGTGAGTGGATAGGAATTTAATATAGAACAAATTAGATATAAACCCCAACTTTATTCTCTATAGTGTCACATGAGCAAAAATAATTCACTTTTTGACAATTTAAGACTTACTTGAAGAGTCAGTGTAAAAGCTATTTATCTGCTATGAAGCTAGACAGGTAAACATGTTTTATCATTTAAAAAAAATGAAATAAGATTTTGGGTTTAAAAAAAATCAGTTAATATCTTGGCCAGAGGCTACTCTATTTAGAAATGAAATTTCCCCATAAAACTAAGCTGTCACCAAATTCTGTCACTTTTCTCTATGATATTTCAAAATACATTCCTGTACCTCTAACGCTTCTCCATGCCTTAGTTAACTTTCTCTGGCCTCCTTGTTTTCTAACTTGCTTCCTTCAATTTATCCTTCCTTGCCATGCACTCAGATCATGTTTCGCCCCCACCTGAATCCCTCCATTAATTCTCCATCATTTACTCAATCAAATTTAAGGTTATTTTTCTTTCCAAGATTGGACACAATTCAGTCCCACTTATATTGTTGAGTCTCTCCTTACCCTTTTCACTCCCTCTGCGATAGCAGCCTCACCTCTCCTTTTATTGTCCTCCTTTTCCTGATGCCTTATATTGCAACCAACCCATGCCACAAATGCCACCTCTATCCCAGTATGCACTCTCACTTCTTATTAAAACCTATTTCAAGTGAGTTTGCATTTGAAGGCCCTTGAACATACCACTGTACCCATGCCTTTTTTAGTAAGCAAAGGAAGTGTTACCATTTTCCTGGTCTAACTAGTATATGAATATCAATTTTTGAATTTTAAATGACAAGCTCAGGCCAGGGACCATTTGGGCCTTGTGCAATGTCAAACAAAGCTGGCACTCAACCAAATATTTAATATAAATGTGGGCAGCTACAAAAAAGTTATTCACCTCTCTGCAGTTATTTGCTAAATATGAAAGATTAATTTTACAAGACATACAATAAACAAGTATGCATTTTACATTAATATAATATAATAAAATAAATTATTTATTATATACAATATATAATATAACAAAGCGAGACACTAAAGTCCTCTGCATAGCCAGGCAAGACAGTGCCTTATGTCACTAGGGATCCGCAATAAATAACTGAGAACTAGTAGCCACAGTGAAACAACCTAGGGCCTGTTCTGTCCACAACGAAAAACGTGTATTTTTAAAACGTTACATGTTTAGAATTAAAACTTACACGTGATTACAAAAATGCATTCAGAGTCTGTGCTACTGAGTACATCTGATAATAGGAAGAGCTCTTTCAAGATGTACAGCAATAAATTTATTAAAAATATTAGTTTACAAAACTGTATACTTACACAAGAAATCTGAAATGGTCCAAAAGTTACGCTTTCTTCTCCATGCAAAGGCCAGTACCGCTCACATTTTTTCTATTAAAAAAAATAGTGTAGTCCTAATTTAATCCATAGTTGGTACTTTAAGAAAGTCACTGACAGTAAAAGTGTTGCCATCTTTTGTAATTTTATCGCAAGTCTCATATTTGGTGTTTTTCTTAAAACTCCAGCTTCTGGAGTCCTGTGATTGAGAGAGCATTTCAGCCTTCATTTAAAACTAAACAAAAATAGTAAGATTTTAGTCTTCATGGTTGCAGAGAAAAGTTTGAAAACAAATCTTAAGGACTTAAAAAACCGAAGACCAACAGATGTAAGCAAGAGATTTCTAAAGTGAGATTTTTTTTTTTAAAGCCTCGTGATCTTTTGGAGCCCGATTCAAACTTTTTGTGAATGCACAGGGTTAGCAATAGTTGTTGCACAGTTTCCCTGTGGCACTGGAAATACCCACTAATCTAGGGAGCATGACAGAGCAATATCAGCCCTTCCTGTCTCCTCATCTGACATGGGGTTTGATGGACTCAAAATCTAGATTCCTTATTTGATTAATGGGGTTTTTTATGCCTAAAACTGCACTATAATCTCCACAGTGAGAAGACCAGCAGCAGTACAGCTACCATTAGTTCATTTTAATTCAGAGAGATCCTTTTATAACTGAAAATAAAGATTAGCTTGGATTCTATTCAGGTATTCTATTCAGGTTGTACCTCGCTAGCACCAAGGTACAGTTATCAGAAAACAGCCGCTTTCTAGAATGAAAAAGTGGCCAAATTCACTGATTTTCTATGCATATTGACACAACTTGGCTTGTGGAAGTAGATTTGTGAACTCTCTCCATAAAGAATGACAAGAATAAAGGCTCTTACTTGGTGCAATTGAGCTATATTTGTAGCTATTGACTTTACATAAAAAGTCTCAATAATTAGAACACTGTCCTAGCCAGTGGGGCTGCAACATTTATTCATATTTCCATTTTAAGCATACATACCCGTCCCATTTCAAACTCTCGACAAGCCATTACAATTATCTGAAAAAGGAAGAAATATATAACTACAGGAAGTTAACATTTTAACATCTTTCATGAAAGTTCAGAACTTTGCCATCTGAGAAAGTGCTCAGACTGACTGCCTATTACTGAAGTGTTTAAACCTTTGTTAAAATCTAAATACAAGTTTTGCATATTAAGAATTGCACACATGCAGAAGCATGTACCTTTAATATTAACTTAATTTAAATACTAAACACTGAGTCTGAATTTTAATCACTTATAGCTAATCTACTCAAATAGCAATAGTAATTTCTTACATCCATTAGTTATTTGTATTCATTGCCATCCTAATGTTTTTAAATTAACAGAGAGAGAAGTCAGTCTACAGAAGTTATACACTTAAGTTCTTACATAGAATGACAAGTTGTGATTGACCTTGACATTTTTATACAATGTAAGTGGTTATATGCTTTACAAGCAAACACAGCCATAGTTGGCTTCGTTAAATTGCCTGGAAAGAACCAGGACAGATTTTTGCACTGACCATACATAAATAAAGAAATAAGTATTCAAAATTTTAAAATGTAACTTACTGCTATTTTTCATGGAGTTATGTGTATTACCTTAAACCTCTAGATAGGAAATCTTTAAATGTTAAGCAATTCATTGTACTATGGAGTAATATTAAGTTTCCCCAGTCACTAAATCACTGTTTTAATTGGTAAATATTAAAACAGATTTTAAATGTTCTTCAGTTATGAACATTTATGAATGAAAGTTATACAATTATGAAAGGCTCATGAATTAGTAGAAAAGAGATGAGTTTCATAGTACTAAAGCTTCCACTTACTTCATTACAACAGTACAAAACTATATCACTACATGAACTCTAAAAGTAAGACTACTCCTAAGCTCACTTTTTTTTCCTCTTTTTTTTAAAATGTTTGAATCCTTATTTCTGAAATCGATTTTGCCAGTCCATACCGGACTAATTAGAGTGATAAACCCTATTCCAGGAAAATGATTAATGATGCATTTGAGCTGTTTGTATACCATAAAAATAATTTTATTGGCAATATTTAAATTTAATGTTTTCCCACAGTTTTCATTCATACTATAAAAAACAAGTTATGTTTCAACACTGTAGGTCACTAAGGTTTTAGCCAGTCTGTAGAATTTTTGGCAGAAGTCCAAGTTGCTCAATTTTTGTAAACATTCCTTTCTGCCAACAGCTCCAAAAGACTCTGAAAATGTATTTTTAGTTGCTCAATATTCATCACCATGTATGTATGTAACAAGTTTAAAAAGAGAAGTAAGGTACTTACTGCAACATTGTACTCCCATATCATTCTCCAGAAATCTATTACTGTATTTGCTAATGGTCCCTGGGTAGCAACATATGCTTTTGGCCCATGTACTCCCTAAAATTGCAAAAGACAGAAACAGCTGAATGTTCACGATAGAAGTCTGGTTGTATTGGATAAAAAAAATCCTTATTTCATAATTTAAATGTAAATCTAGAATCTCTTTTCAGTGTCCTCCTTTCACAAACTGATATTTTGTTCCATATCCAAAAAAATGGCAGAAATAGCCTCCACCACACTTCCAAACAGCTGACTTGATGTAAAAGCGGGGGGTAAAACAATGGGAATTTTACAAGAGTATGTCTACACTGCAGCTGGAAGCTGCCTTCCAGCCAGGGTAGATGGATATGCGCTCATGCCACACACACACAAACACACACACACACACACGCACACAAGCAGAGTAGATATTCGAGCACAGGCTAGCCACCAAATAATAAGCCCATCTAACTTCATGCATCTGAGCTCAGGTGGCTAGCTTGTGCTGCAACATCCACATTGCTATTTTTAATGCGCTAGCTCAAGGAGGGCTAAAACATGTCCATCTACTCAGGCTGGGTGAGATGCTCCCAGCTACAGTGTAGACGGACCCCTGTTGGCTTCAAATGGACCAGGATTTCACAGTTGTAAATTCTTACATTATGCCAGCATAAAAAATTAAGACCAAAGAGTTCAGTAAATTTATTTATTGATTGATTGATTGAAAAGGAAAGTTTGTATGGAAGTTCCAATTCTGCAATATTTCCCTTGCTTTATAGATTTGTTAAAAATGAGTAAAAACAAATACTTTAGATTTAAATCTGAAAGTATGCTTCATATTAAATTTGCCCACCAAAAAAAAGTTTTAAGAAAACGTGCAGAATTATTTACATAAGAATGGCCATACTGGGTCAGACCAATGGTCCATTTAGCTCAATATCCTAACTTCCAATAGCGGCCAACGCCAGATACTTCAGAAGCAATGAAAAGAACAGGGCAATTTTCAAGTGATCTATCATCCTCTGTGGTCTAGTCTTAGGGACACCCAGAGAATAGGGTTGCATGCCTGACCGCCTCTGCTAGTAAGCATTGATGGATCTATCTCCATGAATTTATCTAATTAATTTTGCAACCCAGTTATAATGGTTTTACTTTTTAATTTTGATTTAGTTACATTTAATTTAGTTTTGATTACTAGTGTTTAAATTTCTTCTTTTAACTAGTATTACATTTCAAAACTTAATTTTTCAATGTAGAAGTTTTACAAGACAGTTTTAGTCAGAATATTTTTATTTTTAAGTCAAAAGCAGCAAATATTCTCAGACAACGAACAAAAATTTGACTGAACTTTGAAATATTTGATAAAAATTTCTCAAATCAATTTTATATCCAAGTAGTGAAACTTTTTTTTTAAAAAAAGCAAGAATTAGAGATTAAAAGCATGCCCACTGAAGAAAAGTGGATCAGAGTTCCAGAGAAACTTAAAAATGTCACTTCAGATCATACAGGCAAAAGGCAAAGCATAACAGCATCCTACCATGACTCTACTACCTGAAAAGTAGGTTTTCAGAAAGAATGCTACTTTTATTGTATTAAAATAATCCCCCTGCCCCCAATAGTGATCAAATATTTGCTAAACATTGGAAGATCTGTATATAAATAATATTCTAGATCTACCATCTCCATGCAGTGGTGAGCCTTTGCAAAAGCTCACCACTGCATGGAGATGCAGAGATACGTTGATATGTGCTTGAATATTCTATCATTAATATGCAAATTAGGTATATACAACTTATTTTTTTGTCTTAAAATATCTATTTTCCTGTGAACAGTCTGTCTTATAAATGTTACCTGGAACTATATATCAAAAGAATGACAGATTTACAGTTTTACTGCACTGAAATCGTGATAGGTTAGCCAATTCCGAACTAAATTTTTTAATAAAAGTACAACATATAGTATTGTATAAAGTAACCTTAGACATTAACTCATTTAAAGTACACACCAACATGTTTGAAAATTAAATAAAATTATGCCAACTGGAAATGTTCTATAGTAAGATTGAGTTCTTATTTCATAAGGTTTGTAAAATATTAAAGATTAAAATTGCATTTCTATGAAATCCAAAGGTATTTTAATGTAGTCAGATGTTAAATACATACCTTAATAAAATTTGCATTGATATAGTCTGAATCTTGAGGGAGTGTTTTTAAAGTCAGTTTAACCCGGCTGTGGTCAACTAAAAGAAGATAGTTTTTTAGTGAAGAATTATAGCATGTGTTAAGATATATCTATTACATAAATAAAAATATTGCATGATGCAGCAAATTAATCAAACAAAATGTTTCTTAAGGTGCATAATAGTTTGTAGCAGATACTAGTCAGTCAATGAAATTAGCAATTTCTGAATAAGCTAATTTAGGTGAGAAAAGGCAGGAAAGACCTACAACTGTGCACTTAGAGCTTCTCAGTGGATCTCCAAGCAATTTACATACATGGCTAATTATTGGGAATCCTAAAAAAAAAAAAAAATACTTTTACCATTGTATTGTTTTGAACAACTCCAATTTGTCAACATTAAGCAAAAATTTAATACAGTATTAAATACAACAATACTTATATCTATACAAGCTTTTATATAGAGCTTTTCCCCTGTAGATCTCAAAGTATCATTAACCCAGTTTTACAGATGGGAAACTGAGTAAGAAATAGCTAGAGTGACTTGCCCAAGGTCATCCAGTAGATCAGTGGTACAGCTGGGAATAGAACCCAGGTCTCCGGAGTCCTGGCCAGAACTCTATTAAGGTCACACTTTAGAATTGTTGCCTTTGAGTGTCTGGGTTAGAATTAAAGGATATCTGCTGTCACAGTTAAGGGCAACTACATTGTATTCCCCCTCTATAGTTCACCAAGGGCACTTACTATGTTCCCAGCTAATTAGCCAACACCTTTCTTGGGAAGATACTCATGTCTTCCTCCTGACTGGGGTTTTCCCCTGCCTAATACAGTGATATTCCCAGCAAGCCAGACTGCCTAAATAGACCAGCAGTTTTGCTTTACTTTCTCTTCAAAGGCTACAAGCCACTGTAATTGCCAGCAGTTATAAATTACCACACAGCCCTTTGTAAGAAAGCACATATATTTTTAAGGTAAAAACATTACAGAGAAAATGTATTAAAAAAAATAAAAGAACCACATACATCCTAATAAGCTTACCAGAGATCACTCCCCAACTACAGCAGGGGCTCTGGTAGGAGTCAGTCCTTCAAACCCAACAAAAAGTGTTTTTTCCCCCTGTGGTTACAAGTTCATAACAGCTTTAGTTCAGAACTAGCCCACCCTCCCCTGGAATAAGTTAGTTTTTCCTTTATACAGCTTGGGCCTTTGGTTGAGACTCCAGTAACAGGTAATCTTTACCAGACAATGGCTCATGCCTCAAGGCTGGGTTTTTGCATTACTAGAAGTGGGGAATTTACATTCATCTTGAGATTTCTCCAGTCAAACCTCTTGACACTTGTTTGTCCCAGAAGTCCATTCTTGTCTGGAACATTGTTCACTACAGTCCTTTGAAGTTCATAACACTTCCAAGGGTTCACCTCACATTTCTCCCCCAGAGAGATTACATATAATCCCAGCCCACAATAACCTTTGTATGTAATACAATGGACTCCAAAGATACTTAAACTTAATTCAACAAGGGTTTTCAAAAAGATATTGCAGGAAACTGCCATATCTGTCAATTGACATTGTTACTCCCATTTTTCTAACAGCCAAACTTATTATTTGCCTCTCAAATGAAAATATGGCAACACATTCCCAACACAGAGTGCTAAACACTGACAAGGGAATGCAGCTGGTTGAGACAACTAGATGCTGATCACATGAACTATAGTAGGAGGATACTGAGTGTGGCCTGGGAGAACAGTATACAACAGAAACTAGTTGAGACAGCATTTAGGCAGTTTCTTAGCATATTTTGTCTCCTGAAAAAACATATACCAAGAGGCAGGAGGAAAAAGGCTTTGCAAGCAAACTCTGGGATAAAGACCCAAGAGCTCAGGTTCCCTCTGCCTACCCAGCTTTCAAAAGAGCATTCCAACTGACTTCCGGATTGCTACAACCTATTTAGAAATTTCTAGCCATGGGCATTTCAGCCAGAAACACCAATAATATACTAAATGCTCGGTGAAGTAGCATACAATATATCAGAAGTAGAATTTCCAAGTAAGCTTTTAAAGCAAAATTCAACCAAGATTGCCAATTTTTTGTTTTGGATAGAAACAAAGGGAAACAATGGAAAGGTTTTCATTAACACTATAAATCTCTGGTTTACACCTAAAACAGAATATTTGTTTCAGCTTGTCTTGCCTTTTAGATTTAGCAGGCATCTACTCAGATGTTCCTGTATTTGGACAGTTTATATTTGTTGTATTAACCATAAGCAACTGAGCCTTCAACATAAAATAAGTAACTCAGTCACAAAACTTTGGTGACCAGAAAGTGTTGCGACTGAACAGTTGTGCAAGATTAGTATAACAGCCAGGTATTTTGTTTTAAGTACTCTAGGTTACTGAACTCTTTGAAGCACAAATTCAGCTCTGTTTAGGAATTGAGGATATGCTGATATTGCTCCATAAGAACCATCATATTCAAGTGGTTTATTTACAAGTACACAACTATAAATGCTTACATTTTAAGCTAAGAATTTCAACTGGGAAGCTTCTTTCTCTGGAGACAGATACACTAATGAAGGTTTGCTCAGTGATGTAGCAGCTCTCTCCATCTACTGAAGAACCTTAGTAATCTTTCTAGTTTGTTGCTTGGATAATTTTATGATTCAGGAAAGTTACAGGTCTTGAAGTATAGTTGAAGTTAGAGAATTCTATTGTAGTGTCATTTCTGTGATTATTAAGGGGATACCAGGAAGTTAATCCTTTTTAGGTGCTATGGAAAAAAAAATAAACTAATCCTGCTCAGTAACAGTTAGTACACTCAGTTGACACTTTCAATATAACACAAGTAAAGAGACAAACATATTAACATTCAACTGAATACAGCAAATACAACTGTAGGTAATCCACGATATTGGTCAATTGTGCATTCCATTTGATTGTGATGCATCACAATTATTTGACATTCCCATTAATGCAATATTGAATAATAAATCCTGTTTTAGGTTGTTTCAAAGTTACTCTAAATCAAAAACTGTTCTAGAGTGGAGATTGTCCTTGGAGTCTAAGCTCAGGCAACATTGTTACTGACTTTCAATTTGGCTGTGGCCTGTGACAAGCCTTAGGTCATTTGCAAATCAAAATAAAAAAAAATTTTAAAAAATAGGCATGTGCCTTCCCCCACACCCCTCCTTCAGAATATAGAAAGGAGGCTTTAAACTTTTAAAACAAGCCTTTTAAAAAAATACCCATTAGAAATTCATATCTTGTCTACCCTATTTTCTGCAAAGACACTATGGATGGCTGGAGATTTAGGAGGGTTTTTTGTATCTTGTAGAGTTTTTTTAAATTAGAGAATTTGCATAAAAAGTGGGTCTTTGTTTCTGCTCTTGTGGCTCAATCCCCAGCAAAAAAGGGAAGATGGTGCTCTCCACAGCAATTAACTGTGAGGTCAAGAGTGTATTAAGTCTTCAGGTGGAGAATAAGCATCAGTAGCAAGCCAACCCCTAAGGAAAGAAGACCCTGTTTTCAACCAAATGTCGTTAACAAACAGGAATGGAAATATAGGAAGTAGGCTATAAGAATTACTTCCAAACAGCACGCTTTCCAAACCTTTTCATTAGGTATCAGTAACAAAGTATCACTTATGTGTTGCTACAATAATTTCCTTCAAGCAAATGTTTTTGGCAGGTTAATACGTAACGCTCCTCAAAGCGCCAGTTTTACTCCGGGGCTAATTCTGCACCACTGTGCATATACAGAATTCATATCCCCCTACAGATTTCTTTGCTTCCCTGCAGAAAAATAACTTTCTGACAGGGAAGCAAAGGGCAGCTGCAAGAGCAGTCATGCACCACTCCCTAGCAGCACAGGCACATCATTTCAGGAGCAGCTGGCAGAGAGGTAAATCACCGCAGGTCTGGGGACACCCCAGCTAGTGGCTCCTACCCTGATATGGGATCAGCTGCTAGTCCTGGCTTGACTGGAGGCAGAAGATGGGACTTCCTTTTCCCCTGCAAGGAGTTGCTGGTGGCTGTGTCAGATGCACCCCCAGAAACCTTCCCCAACTGCAGGAAGCTCAGCATCCAGGAAGAGTATGAGGAAGAGTATGAGGCAGGAAGCTGCCCCCATCTCTCCTCAGCTGAGGAGGGAGGGGGTCACTGTATGGGGAGCTGCTCCCCTATCCGCCCAACCCCCGTGCAGCTGGACCTCCCATACCCAGACACCCCTGCCAAGTCTTACCCAATACATCCAGAACCCCCTTAGCCTGCCATACCCAAACCACACCCCACTGAATCTCAACCCTGGCATTTGGAGCCCCCCTGCACTTAGACCACACCCCACTGAGCTCCCTGCACTCAAACCTGCACCCACCCTGATGCCCCACCCCATGCACCACTTTGAGCCCCCACATGCAGACCTCCATGCGACTGACCCCCAACTAGCTGCACCCAGACCTCTACCCCACCAAGCTCCACTTCCCCAGACACTCCCCCACACTTAGACCCCAACACCCAGACTCCTCTGTTGAGCCCCACCCATCTTTACCTGGATGCTCCTGCAGAGTTCCATTGCCCCTGCACCTGGAACCCCCCAACAAGCCTCTGTGCATCCAGATCTTCCCATACCTAGACCTCCCACTGAGCTGCCTGCGCCCAGATTGTCCCACACAAAATCCTCTCACTACACACCTGGATTCCCCCCACACTGAGCCCCTTCACACTTGGATCCTGCCTGGTGGAGCTTGCCTGCTCCGCACCTGGTGCGCCTGGCACAGAGGGGCAGGGCCCCAGAGTGTTTCTGGGGCAGGCCCAGGCCTTGTGCTGTGTCAGGGTCAGCTGCAGCCTCACTGCTGAGTCTGTGTCCCAGGGGTAGGAGGACTGCAGTGTGATCCCCCACCTTCATGCAGCCAGTGGCCTGTGCTCCCCACTGCCATGCTGGAGCCTCTACATTTAATTAACAAATGAAACTTGCAGAATTTTAAAATATTGTGCACAGAATTTTTAATTTTTGGCCCAAAATGCCCTCAAGAGTACAGTTTATAGAACTACAAGAAGAGCTGCAATCA